AGGCCTATGTTCGGCTTTCGCAGATGCAGTCGAGCAGATTTCCAACGCTGTTGTACCAATTTACCCTCCCACCCACAATGAATGAGCGTTCCAGCGACCCCATGTCTTCACCAACACTCGGCATCGTCAGTTGTGTTAATTTTGGCCATTTGTCTTGCCAGAGTTTGAATTCCTTAGCTGTTCTGCACAGTCTTGCCGGCTTAGAGATCCTAACTGAAAACAGCTGATTTGTGCTGTATGGAAAACACCCCTTTCTTATCTTGCTTATCCACCTGCCCTTTTCACTTGTCTTTGAACAGAGCCTGAAGAGAATTTATGAGACGTGAGGTAGCTTCTGAGATGGTCCCCAAAGACCGTGGTGTTCTGGTGTTCAGGCCTCTGTAATCCCCTCCCTTGGGTATGGGCTGGACCTAGTGACTCACTTCTAACCAACTGAATACAGCAAGGGTGATGGGGTATCACTTCCATGATTAGGTTCTAAAAGACAGTGACTTCTGTCTGGTTGCAGACTCTCTTGCTGGCTTTGCTAAAGCACACTGGCCTATAAAGAGGCCCATGTGTCACGGAACTGAGGGAAGCCTCTTACCAACAGCCAGAAAGGAACCAAGGCCCTCAGTTCCACAGCTTGTAGGGAATGGATGGACTCCTGCCAACAACGACGAAGTGAGCTTGGAAGGAGATCCCGCCCCTGTCGAACCCGGATTGCAGTCTGAAGGGGAGGACTCAGTTGAGCCATGCCCAGATTCCTGACCCACAGAAACTGTCAGATAATAAATGCGTGTTGTTTTGAGCGGCTAACTCTGGGGGATGATTTGTTATGCAGCAAGAGCTAACGGATACAAACGCAAAGGATATTGAAGTCAGGGAAAGAAAACGTGCTGGATTTTCAGGTAGTATTTATGTGATTCTTGCTCCATTTATCCTAATCAACTCAGTTTTGCATCTTGGGTCTTCTTCTGAGCCTAAGGTCGACTTTGTACTGTACCTAGAACCGTCCTGAGATGGAGGGCTCATGAGGTCCTTTCAAAATTCTTATTTCATCCAAAATATGTTTTAAAGTATGTTCATGAAGTGTTTTCTGGGGTGTGTATGGGGGAGATATGCCCCTTGTTGTGCTGAGCAATTTTCTCCAAGGTGGCATCTGGCCTTCCGTTCCAAATGTCACCAACACAGAGGACCCCAGCTCCATTCTGCCACTTTCAGTAGATTGCATGTGTAGAACTAAAGAAGAGAGACGGGTTGTATCAAGGGGACAACAACGGTGATGCTTGTGTGAGTTAGGCAGGGTATTTGGCCCATGGTGGGCTCCCAAAAGTCAATAGTTCTTCTCAACCGGAAATAGTGTGGTTAAGCGCTGTCAGTATCCCCCACTGTACCTGCTGTTGAAAAATGCTTACATAGCTGGAGCAGATGTTCTCTGTGCCTCACTCCCATCCACCCCCTCCATGTTCATCTCTCCATGATGAATGTCATTCCCAGCAAATACCTCCAACCCTGCCTGGGGCCTCCTTTGGCCACAGGGGTGTGTCCAGCTGGTGCACAGGGAAGACCAGAAGTGTGAGGGGTTAATCTCTCTAGAAGCAGCTCTCAGCCAATACTAGATGGAGGTCAGAGGATATACACCCCAGTGTGGGGACCACTCTGCTGTGTGTGCTTTATGCTGTCTCCCAGAGGTCCCTAGCAGCATGGAGCCTCAATTGCCCACAGTACTGTCTGCTCCTTGGTGTCCCCGAAGGGCTCTAGGGCTTCCTGAGGTACCCTCCCACATAAACAAACCACATCCCCCAAATCATCTCAAGGTCTGGCTCTGATGATCTCAATCCAAGGCAACATCTTTGAGAGATATTGTCCACTCTCTAGTCACACCAGCATGCCGACAGCTGCTGGTTTTTGCATGACCAGTGGAATTAATGGAGACATCAATATCCTTTCTGATTTGGTCCTCATCACTGTGTTTGGTGGAGGGGAGGAGGTTACCTTATTTTATAAAGGAAACTAAAGTGGCCGGTCACATGACTGTTCCCTGAGCCAGGTCTGTCCCAGCTCCTGGAGGACACAGAGCAACCTGAGCATTTGGCTCCAGCCCCAGGACCAGCCTCATCCCCTCTTACCTGATTCTGGCTGAGATAGGAGGATGCTTGGTGTCCCTTCCAGGGCAGAGACGGCAAGGGGGGCAGGTTTCGACTGGGCTATGGGCAGCACTCCCAGCTGGCCTTCCAAGCTGGAACCTTGTATAGTTTTCAGGGATCCTGTTCTGGGTCCCATGAGGATGAGCAGGGGTCACACAAAAATGAGGCTAGCAAGCTCGAGGGGTGCAACATTTAAGGAGCTCATTTTAGTTCAGGGGCCCACCTGCACCTGCAGGAGGCTGAGATCAAGTGCCTCCTTAAATTTGTCTTGATTGAGGTGAAATTCACATAACACAGAATTCACCATTTTAAAGCATACAATTCAGTAGCATTTAGTACACTGACAATGTTGTGCAAACATTACTCCTGTCTAGTTCCAGAACATTTCTAGCACCCAGAAAGGAAACCCCGTCCCCACGAGCAATCACTCCGCATCCCCCTCCCCCAGCCCCCCGCACCCACTTATCTGCTCCGTCTCTATGGATCTGCCTGTTCTGGACGTTTTATATACGTGGAATCACACACTATGTGGCCTTTCGTGTGTGACTTCTTTCACTCGGCATGATGTTTTCGAGCTTCATCCCTATGTAGCATGGGTCATTGCTTTGTCCCTTTTCATGGCTGAGTAGTATTCCATTGCACGGATTGATCACATTTTTTATCCGCTTATCTGTTGATGGACATTTCGGTTGTTTCCACCTTTTGGCAGTTACGACTAGTGCTGCTATGAATGTGTTTGTAGAAGAATTTGTTTGAATACCTATTTTCAATTCTTTCAGGTCTCCAATTTTGCACCCGCACCCTAGTCCCGGTCCTGGGGATGAGGCTGAGGGGTCCAGCGTCTGGTTCCCCTGCCCAGTCCAGGAGATGAGGTGCTGCTTGCTGGCAGACAGCCGTCGTCCTTCCTCCTCCTTCCTTCTTCCTTCCTCCTCCTTTCCCACACCCCGGAGCCCTGGGGGCCTGCCCTGTTCCAGGGTATTCTCAGAAATGGCATTTCCCAGTGTTTCTCAGGAACCTGCTCTGTCCTGGAGCCCTCTGTGATGCGGCAACGAGGTTCCAGCCATCGCCACCACGTGGCCTCACTTCCTGGGCCTCAGTTTCCCCATCTGTAAGTGGGGTTGTCCTGAAGATTAACTGAGGCCAGGAAAGTGCCTGGCACATGCCTGCAGAACCAGGCATGTGCTAAAGACGTGACATTTATTTATTTATTTTTTTAGAGTAAGTTCTATGCCCAACGTGGGACTTGAACTCACGACCCCGAGATCAAGAGTCGCACATTCTACCAACTGAGCCAGCCAGGTGCCCCGACATTTATTTTTATTTGATCTTTTTCATTGATATTTCTTATGCTCCCCAAGAACCCATGCTTACTGGGTGCCCCACATGTCAGGTGCCACGTGGGACATTCATGTGTGTCATCTCTTCCCTCCACTCCACCAGCAAGGAGGTCTGCACAGCTTCCCGGCAGCTCTGGGAGGAGGCAGCTGAAGTCAGAGTCGGTCGGCCACTCAGGTCTGCGTGTATCGGATCAGCAGGGTCCCTGCCAGGGTCAGGCTTGGGGGATCAGCCCCCCCAGCTGAGCGCTGGCACCTCTTTGTCCATTGGAAAGGGCCCTAGGGGGGCTTTAAGCCACTTTGTGGCTGAGCTGTCTCCTCTCCCTGGGCCTCAGAGTGCCTGTGCAGCCCAGGAAGGGATGCACTGGGAGAATTCTGGGGACATTTGTCCATTTGGGGTGAGGGTGGAGGCCAGGCTTCCCCACCCCCGGTGAAATTTATATGCATGAAGATTTATATACATGGGTCCCCGACTAGGGTCTACAAGAAGTACACCCTTGCCCCCCACCCCATTCCTGTCACCCCACCCATTACCCCGGGCCTGGGCTTGACCACACAGCATGTTTGGATATGGCTCAAGTGACAAAGGAGATAGCGAGGGTCAGAGTTTATTTGAGGGTTGTGTGGGGAGTGGGGCTAGGGCCTCTGGAGATCCCTGGGGCTCTGAGTTATCCACTCTAAGCCTGGGCAGTTTCATGAGCCCCAGAAGGTGGCCATCAACCCACCTTTTCCTGCCACCAGGGGTCCAGACTGACGACAGCACAGGTGGACGTGCACTGAGGACCTACTGTGCACAGGCACCTGGAATAGAGCCCTAGGAGGGGGGAACCGCTTATGTCCCCATTTTATAGACGAGGAAACTGAGACACAGAGCAGCGAAGCCCTCAGCCAGGGGCCCACAGCCAGAAGGCTGGGTCCAGCCCTCCAGGTGCACCTGTGGCCCTGGGCCGCTCTGAGCTCAGCACACACGGATTTCCAAATGCTCACAGCCCGGAAGAAGTTGCAGAGTCTGAGACTTGTATTGTCAGCAGCATGGGGGTTACAGAACCCTGGTTCGAATCCTGACTCTGACGCTCAGAACTGGCCTTGGGACTCCTGGTGAGTCACTGCCCCACTCTGGACCTCGGTTTCCTCATCTGTAAAACGGATGGAGACATTTAGAGAACCACTGTTTAAGCCCGACCCTCCCCTCCTGCCTCTAACATCTGGATAGCTACATTTCCCAGCCTCCCCTGCCTGGAGATGTGGCCATGTGACTCTGTTCTCGCCAGTGAGGTATAAGCAGGAGGGTCCCAAGACCTCCCAGGAAGATTTCCAGAAGGTTCTGAGCACCCCCTGGCCTCAGCCTTTCCCTCCGAGAGAGGAGGTGAAGGCTGGAGCCCTGGCAGCCATTTTGTGCCATGAAACCACCTTGAGGACACAAGCCAGGGATGCTGAGAAATCAAGTCATACTGCTACTGTGGCTGAGCCTGGACCTATCTTTACAGAGTCCTCTTCCTGCTGCCTGACACCAGGTCTCTATCCCTGATCCCTGGGTTCACACCAGTGTGGAGTCCTTCCCTGAGCCCCCTGGCCGGTGGCCTAGCATGCTGTGCATCTCGTGGGTGACCCCTTCCCAGTGCCCCCTGCCAACCGACAGTGTCCGGTGCATGTAGGATAAAGGCAGGCTGGTCTCCCGGCCTCCCTCCATGGCTACAGGTGCTGTAGCAGCGAACGTGGGTCTAAGGGGGCCCCCAGGTTCTGGGAAGGATGAGTAGGGGGTCCGGTGGTGGGTACCCTGCTGGGGCGGAGCCCTGGGGCTGGCCTTGGAGACTCTAGCAGGGTGGACAGGGTCGTCTTCAAAGTGCGGTGGGGACAGTTCATGGAGGCCGCGGTGGGTGGCCCGGGCAGCTCGGAGCAGAGTGTGGGTCAGCGCCGCCACCAAGACCAGAGCACCCACTCCAAAGATGGAGGCGGCTGCTGCACCTGTCTCGATCTCAAAGAGCAGCAGGGCATAGATGGACAGTGCTGGGGAAAGAAATGGCTCTCATTTACTCAGTCAACAAACATTTGCTCCCCAAGCCCTGGGAGAGCTCTCCCAAACAGAGGGCAGTCACAGAAACCCGTACATGATAGGCACACAGCTTAACTATCTAATCCTCTCACACCATCGTCACATGCATTTTACCATAAAACGGTAAATTTTATGTTATGCGTACTTGACCACAACTAAAACAACCCGGATCTCAGGCTTCCTGAGTCCCGTGATTAACTTTCAGTGAGGTTGACAGAGGCCCCTCTCTGGCCTCAGTTTGCTGGTCTGAACAAGATGGTTGGTGACCTGACTTTGAGGACCGATCTGTACTAGTTTTCTGTTGACTTGTGCAGCGCCCAGTTTGCACCATTCTTTTTGATGAGGACTGTCCTGTGCATTGTAGGATATGTAGCAGCTTCTACCCACTAGATGCAGTAGCATTCTCCCCCTTCCCTGTCTTGACAACCAAAAATATCTCCAGATATTGCCAGATGTCCCCTGGATCAGCAGAATCTGTTCCCATTGAGAACCACGGGTCCAGTCCCTACCCTCACCCTGATCACTAATGCAGGAGCACGGACCCACCTCTCCGGCATCATTGATGTGTATGGTACTAGGCTTGGCCAATCAGAGCATTGCTTCCCCTGGTTGTAGTGATTGGTGCAGAGCTATCACATGACCCAAGCCCAGCCAATCAGAGCCAGTCCTGGGACTTTAGACTGGGCTATGGGTAGGGAGGAATTTTTATTTTTATTTATTTATTTTTTTTAGGGAGGAATTTTCTTACTGGAGCAGCGGGAGAATTGGTTGAAGAGAAGCCCAGAGTGGGATGGAAGCTTTCTTGGCACTTTGCCGGCTGTTTTTATGCTTTCTCCAGCTCTGTACTCTCGCTTTTAAGATGCCACACTGCATCATGTTTGACATATTGAAGTGAGGCCAAGGGGGAGCCTGGGTGGCTCAGTCGTTAAGCGTCTGCCTTTGGCTCAGGTCATGATTCCAGGTCCTGGGATCAAGCCCCGCATCGGGCTCCCTGCTCGGTGGGAAGCCTGCTTCTCCCTCTCCCACTCCCACTGCTTGTATTCCCTCTCTTGCTGTGTCTCTCTCTGTCAAATAAATAAATAAAATCTTAAAAAAATAAAGTGAGGCCAAGGACTTTTTTTTTTTGCTCTAAACATTTTTGAAAAGGTTTTTTAAATTATTCTCTTGGCTCTGGCTAGCAATGAATGGATGATTGGATGATTGGTTGGATGTGCTTGGGAATTCTTGCTGAGTGAGGTCACCTAACCTCAAAAGGAATCTAAATGGGAGCTGAACAAATTCTTAATTTAACACTTAATGAGGCTGACATAGTTACCTTTTTTTTTCTCTCTGTGAGTTTTCTTGTATACTAGAATGAGGATATCTTATTCTCCAAGTCTCCAACACTTTTTTGCCAGCCTAGGAAAAGGCTCAAGGTTGTAGGCATTATGTTGAAAGCACTTACAAATACAGGCATCTTTCCCAGAGGATAGCAGGTGAAGAGGTGAAAGAAGAGGCATCTCTGATTAACCTTGTTGAGCACCTAGAACCAGCTGCACCTGAGGCCAACCACCTCCGATCTTTACAGATAGATGAGTCACCTCATCCACTCTTTTATTTTTTTAAAATATTTTATTTATTTATTTGAGAGAGAGAGAGCATGGGGGGGGTCAGAGGGGGAAGCAGACTCCCTGCTGAGCAGGGAGCCCGATGCGGGACTCGATCCCGGGACTCCAGGATCATGACCCGAGCCGAAGGCAGTCGCTTAACCAACTGAGCCACCCAGGCGCCCAGCTGTGAGTTTTTTAAAAGAGTGGATAGGGGTGCCTGGGTGGCTCAGTTGGTTAAGCGACTGCCTCGGCTCGGGTCATGATCCTGGAGTCCCGGGATCGAGTCCCGCATCGGGCTCCCTGCTCAGCAGGGAGTCTGCTTCCCCCTCTGACCCCCCCCCTGCTCTCTCTCTCTCATTCTCTCTCTCTCATTCTCTCTCTCAAATAAATAAATAAAATCTTAAAAAAAAACTCACAGCTGGAGCATTTTATTGAGTCAAACAGCTAAAGTTATGCAGTTTCCTGCACTTTATATACCCATATATACCCTTATATTCCCATAATGAACCCTAAGCTCACATCTCACAAATAAATAATTTAAATATCTCTTCTAAACTTCTATTTTTCTGTTGTAGGAATGAAAAAAAAAAGACAGTAATAGCAAATCCCTTCTTTTTCATTCAGCTGAATATTTTCTTCTTCTAGGAAAACGGGTTGTTTTTAAGGGTCCCCGTGGTCTATGTATGATTCAGCACTGAGTCTGCAGCATCATCAACACATTTTTCAAGATTAGAACAAAATATAAAATGTCAGGAGTCTCTTTAAAGAAACTTGATGATTTGGTTCCTTTACTGGCAAGTGTAGGTGAGAGAATGTTGATCTAAGAAAAGTTATTACAGGTCAGGGAAGGGAAGACTGTGCGCTGTGTCCTTCTGGTACCCACATTATTAGTTTTTGTTTTGCTTCATGTTTTGGGATTTACAACTGCATTTCTGGTTTATAAAGCATTTTTTTTTTAAACCTAAGCCATTCTTGAGCTGGAGGTTCTGATATTTGTAACCAAACAGCTTTTTACTAAGACCAACCTGTGAAACACTATCTCCAGAAAACCACCAAGGACATGAAAACTTTTGTTCAAACCAAATGTAGGAAACTGAAGAATCAAGAATGTTCTGAAGACAATACGACTTATGGAACCCCCACTGGGGTCAGATGCCATGCATGGGCTTTCACAGGGACTAACCCAGAATCCCCTCAACAATTCTAGAAGGCAGGGATGTATGCATCCCACTGTACTGATGAGGAAACCTAGACACAGTGGGAATCTGCCCAAGGTCCCAGAGCACGAAAGTGTCAGAGCTGAGAGTCGAACACAGGCAGACTGGCTCTGGAGAGCTGACTTCAGTTATGGGGTCATTACCCCCAGCCACCCCCGCCCAGGGCTCTACACCCCATATTCTATTCCCCAACACGCACCTGCTAAGTAGACAGAGACCCCACAGCAGAAAAGGCCAAGGGCCACGTGTCTGAGGAGGCGGCAGTCATAGAGAAACCAGTCAGACCTGGGAGGAAGGGGGGCAGGAAGAAAACGGGTTCAGGGGGTGAAGCTGGTGGGGGAAGGCCATGGAGGAGAGGGAGGGAGAGTGGCCCAGCTTTGGGGGACCTGAGATCTACGTGAGGACCCATCCAACCATCCATCTCTCTATCTACCCCCTCATCCATCCTTCCAGGTAAATGTCCACTACCATTTACCATCTACCCATCCCCATCTATTATTCAACCATACAGCCATCCATCCATTTAACTAGGACCTATTAATCCATCTAATCACTTATTTAAACAGCCACCATCCATCCATCCATTCATTTGCCATTCACCACCCACGCATCCATCCATCCATCCTTCACCCACCCATCCATCCATCGTCCATCTCCCATTCACCATCCATTGATCCAACCAACTATCCATCTGTCCATTCATCCATCCCTCATTCACCACTCATCCATCCACCATCCTTCCCCCCTCTCCCATGACCCACCCATATACATCAGTCCATTCAAACATCCAACACTCATGAAGCAGCTATTATGCACAGACACTTGCTAGACACCTGACTTCCATTATTTTACAGACCATAAGCTTATTGGGGAAATGAAGAAACCAGGGGTAACTTGTTATCAGAGAGGATAGAAAGAGATTCCCAAGAGCTGAGACTGATTGAGGACTTGGTTTTGAGCCTGGCACCATGCTAAGTGCTTCTGTTGTGTGCACTCTCCCTTCCCCATTCCTGAAAGCTTAGGAAACGGAGGCTCTGAGAGCTTCCATTATCACTCACCTCCCACCGGTGCAGTGGAAGTGTCCTCCTCCCTGGTCTCCCCACCACCTGCCCTCCTGGCCCCTTTTTTCCATGGTGGCTGGAGGGGGTTATTCCAAACTGAAGTCAGATCATGCCCCTCCTTTCTCATAACTCTTTCAGGCAGAGTAAACCCCAAGATCTTCACCACAGCACAAGGAGCCCTACATGGTCCAGTTCCTGATTTCCCTGCCCCTATCTCCCTCATGTCTCCCTCTGGCCACACCCATCACCTCGACCTCCCTCTAACACCCCAAGCTCATTCCTGCCCCAGGGCCTTTGCACGTGGTGTTCCCCCGGCCTGGATCACAGTCCTCCAGATCTTCTGCCTCCTTTCCTCCTTCAAGTCTCCACTCAAGCCTCTGCTGATGGTCCCATCTCAACCCCCACCCTATCGTCTTCCCCGGCATCACCCCATCTTCTTCCTTTCCCAGCATTCATCCTCACTTGACATTACGGTCTTGTCTGTATTGTCTACCCCATGAGGGCAGGTCTGGGTCCGCCTGGTTTCTGCTGTGTCCTCTACTCCCGGTGCTGGGCTCAGCCCTCTGCAGGCACCCAACACATATTTGTTGACTGACCCACCAGTGCATTTCAACACCCCTTGAGCTATGGAATGGATAGTGCACACTTTAGGTGGGATCTACTCCAGTGGTGGAAGTTCCCATCCGTTCTAATCCATGGCATCCTGGACCGTGATTCTGGCTACCCCCCCCCCACCCCAGCATCCTGGAGGGAAACACTGGGAAGGTTCCTCCCAGCATTCCCTGCCCCCTGACACCTGCCTCCCCGGTACCCATGTTCCTGAGCCCAGGTGCCTGAGGAAGGAACCCCACCCAGCAGCAGAGCACAGGCTCTGGCTCTACCAGAAGCAAGTTCAGATCTCGTCCACCCGCTTCCAAACCCGGCAGCCTAGAGAGATCAGCCTCCCCTGTGTGAGGCACAGTTACAAAAGGAGGTCGCAACATCAGCCGCGCAGGGACCGCGGGCCTTCACTGGGCGAGTCCACAGAACGAGAGAAGCGCGTAAAGCTTAGGGTTCCCTCAATGACAAGCGCTATCAACACGGGGGCCAGCCGCCCCTGGGTCCTCTGTGACCGCAGTTTCCACCTCTGTAAAATGGAGGGTGCAGCAGTCGGTGCACCTGCTGCAAATTTTCAACCAATATAGGATGTAGGGAGGGAGGGATGATAGAGGGAGTGGGGGATGGAGAGAGGGGAGGAAGGGAGGACCGGATGGAAGAAAGGCAGAGGGGAAGCTCTCCCCCAGCCTGAGGCCCCGAGAGGGGAAGCGGCTCGCCTGGGCTCGCCCAGCCCCCAGCCGGGCCTCGGGGCGGAGGGGCTTGTCCTACCTGCCGGGGCCGGGCCCCCGCGCCAGCTCGGCGCCCAGGTGGCCGCAGAGCGCGGCGAGCAGAAGGCAGGTGAGGCCCAACACCAGGGCGAGCGCGGCGAGCGCGGCGGCCAGCGGCAGCAGCGCCCCGGCCGCGTCCTCGGGCAGCCCGGGGCCGGCACCCAGCTCGGGGCCGAGCCCGTCGGCGCGCAGTGTGCGCAGCTCCGCGCGGCCCGCCTGCAGCTGGAACAGCAGCTGCGCTCCCAGCGCCGCCAGCACAGCCGCGGGGATGCCCAGCAGGGTCATCGCGGCCAGCACCCGGCCGCCGTACGACCGGGCCATAGCTGGGGTCTTCGGGCCGGGGTAAGGGGGCGGGCAGTCGAGGAATAGAAGAGATTTTAACGGGGCAGGGGAGTTGGGAGGGCGTCCAAGGGCTCCCAGAAGTTCCGGAGAGGGCGGGACGGCAAGGGGTGTCTGAAAGTTGGGAGGCCGTAGAGGGATTGGTGTGCGGATCGCGGTGGGGACGAGGAAACTCCGCGAAAACTTGGGACAAAGTCTTCTCCTCCCTCCGGGGACCCAGCGGGCGCCCCCTCCCGGCCTCCAGGTCCCGGCCGGGCGGGGCCCGCGCGGGGCGGGGCGAAGAAGGGACGGAGGCCGCCCCAAGAGCCGCAAGGGCTCGGCGGCCAGATCCAGGGAGCCCCACAAGCCCCTAAACTCATTAAAGCGACCCCACACCACCCACTGCCCTAAGCACCCGTTTCACTGTTAAAAAAAAAAAAAAAGGAAACGTGAACGAATTTCTAAATAATTCATTTTGATATTCGGTCTCTTACCTGCGGACTTTGCAACTGGCTGCGATTTCCCTTCCGTTCGACCTTCTTTCAAGGCTTTGCAGAAACGTCGCCTCCTGGACGAGATCCTTTTGGGGCCCCCGCTTGAGGAGGCACTCCTGTCTTTTGCCGTTGGGCTTTGTTCTTCCCATGGCCGGTTTTCTGTTATTATTTATTTATTTTTAATTTTAAAAATTGAGGTGACATTTACATGACATGAAAGTGAACAATTCTGAAGTTAACAATTCAATGGCATTTAGTACATACACAGTGTTGTACCAACAGCATCTCTGTCTAGTTCCGGAACATTTTCATCATCCTTAAAGGAGACCCCATTCCCCATGAGCAGTCACTCCCCACTCCTCCTCCCCCAAGCCCTGGCAACCACTGATCTGCTTTCTGTCTCTGGATTTGCCTGTTCTGGACATTTTATATAAATGGAGGCAGACACTATGTGACTTTCTGTGTCCAGTTTCTTTCACTGAGCCTAATGTTTTTGAGGTTCATCCATGTTTTACCGTGTATCAGTTCTTCATTCCTTTTAATGGCTGAATAGCATTCCACTGTATGGATGGAACACATTCTACTTATGCATTTGTCTATTGAGGGGCATTTGGGGTTTTTCCACCTTTTAGCTGTTGTGAATAGTGTTGCTAGAACATGCACACACAGTTATTTGTTTGAGTCCCTATTTCTTTTGGGTTTATACCTCGGAGTAGAATTGCTGGTAATTATGGTCATTATATATTTAACTTATTGAGGAACCCCACCCTGCTTTCCACAGCAACTGCACCCTTTTACTTCCCACCAGCAATGCTGGACGGTTCCACTTTCTTCACTTCCCTGCTAACGCTTGTTATGTGCTGGGTTTTGATTACAGCCATCCTACTGGGTGAGAAGTGGGATCTCACGGTGCTTTTGATTTGCATTTCCTTAGTGGCTAATGATGCTGAGCATCTTTTCGTGTGCTTGCTGGTCGTTTGTGGATCTTCTTTGGAGAAATGCCTCTTCAGGTCCTTTGCTTAGTTTTGACTGGGTTGCCTGTCTTCTTGTTCACCCCCACCCCCACCCCGCAGCACTTTGCATCTCCTGAAGCCCCGCTGTTTAGTCCGAGGCCCCCGTGCTGGGGGGTGCCGCTGCTCCCCGACGCTAGGACGTCTGCCTCAAGTGTCCCCTGCTGTGTCCCCTTAGTGTCTGGGGCGGCACTCTTCGGGAGGTTGCAGCACAGAATCCCCACGCGCATCCTCCCCGCAGGGGTCAGAACAGCTCCCCGGCGCCGCCGCCCTCCGCCCCGCCCTCCCCCTCGGGCGGGCTCCCGCTCCCCGGGCCGCGTTTGCCCCGGGCCGCCCGGTCCACGCGGTACTTGCAGCGGCGCAGCGGCTCGGTAAGGCTCCGCGGCGCGGGGTCGTCCAGGTCCTCGGGCTGCAGGAAGCTGCGGTCCAGCAGCTCCGACGCCTCCTGCCAGTTGGCGAAGCAGGCGGGGCCCAGGCGCCGGATCTCGTCGGTGGCGTCGCGGGTGAGCACGTCCCCGCCCGGCTTGAGTACCACGACAGCCGGCAGGCGCTCCACGGAGAACCGGCGCCCGAGGTCCCAGCGGGGCGGGCGCGGCAGGCCGGTCGGAAGCAGGCGGGGCCCAGGCGCCGGATCTCGTCGGTGGCGTCGCGGGTGAGCACGTCCCCGCCCGGCTTGAGTACCACGACAGCCGGCAGGCGCT